ACCAGCCCTTCTATTCTCTTTAGCCCTGGTACAACGTTAGCTGCCTCTTAGAGAAAAATCACTCAAGGTAAAAGAATACTCATCAGGCTCTATAACTCTCAAAATAAACACGCATGGAGTTGGCCTACTATAATACATATAAAGCCTTGATGTATTATTTATCTTAATAGTAAGCAAAATGAAAACAGCTGGATTAAGATATATCCTTGTAATAATTTTTTTGTCTATTGAACTAATTTCTTCATCATGAATATGAAACAGAAGCATTAGAATAAATAATTTAGTTCTCACAGTTTATCTGTAAAGTAAAATTCTCAACTTCTTTTTTTTTTTAAGTATCAGTATCTTCAGATGCTTTAAAAATATAAACTCAGTTTCTTTTTATCATTTCATATAAAGTGAAAAAAAAATCATATAATATAGATTTTTTATAAACTAGGAAGTCTTATTTACGTCATTCACCATCCGCCACCGCCATGAGTATTTTGCAGTCATTTTTGTTTCTTGAGCATTAACAGGATATTCATCAATTAAAAGAAAGAAACTTTTATTGACCCTAAGAACCTTTTATATTGTTTTTCACCAAAGATATTATTTAGCGATAGTGCAAAAAGCTAATTCCTAGGTTTCTGTGCAGATTAAATACTTATTTTGTAATAATTATTTTTGTTGACTGGACGCAGTTTAGTATAAAAAAGGTAAATATAGCTTATTTTCTGTTAAACAATTGTAAAGCAGTTATTAATATGCAGTAACACGTAAAATTTTGGCTAATAAGGCCGAATATGTTCTAAAAAGTAGAAAAATATATTCTGAGATATTATTCTTAAAAGTAAAGTCATGAAACACAGAAATAACTACTAATAAATTATACATAAGTCTAAATTATAGTAATGATAATTTTATTTTTAAAATTAAGATAAAAATAACGGCATTAAATAAAGAAGAATTAGTTTACAATAAACTTACATTTTTATTTTTCGGAAAAAAAGTTTTGTTCTATTTCGAAAAATACTCGACATAACATGGTTTTAAGAAGTAGAAGAAACTGTTTGACATAGGAATTAACATTAAGTTCTATCTACCAATAAGTATTTGGACACCTATGCAAATGACTATATTTGCGGTCCTGAGAAACGTCACGCCCTCCTGGTATGGATTGAGACCCTTATTGGTCCCCATTCATGGTAAGCTACACCGATGCCTACTGCACTATTTTGGATGACAATGTGCTTCCTATGTTGTGGCAGTTTTACGGGGGGGGGGAACCGTTACTTCCAGGATGCAATGCCAGCTGTCATGTTGCGAGGGTCACCAAGGCTTGGTATGGTGCCAATTGGGGTTAATCGAATGGACTGGCCTGCTCAGAGCCCAGACCTGAACCCTATCGAGAGGCAAGAAATCACTGAGGCAAGAAATTAGATACTTTTTGAACTATTTATTACTCACATGTACGGCAGAATTCGAAGAAAAAGTGATATATTTGTATGCAAACCCAAGAAAAATCATTTTAATATTTGAATAAATTTGTTATTCAGGAGCAAAGCATAAAGCTAATATGTAAAAAGAACGATTTAGAGCTGAGAAGCAATAANTGGTGTACTACCCGTCCAAAATGGGTGAAGGAACTTACATGTCTTCTCCAAGCCGAGTGGAAGAAAATACCACTTGCCAGCTCACAAGGACTTGTGGAAAGTATGCCCCAGAGGGTTCACGCTGTAATTGCCAAGGATCTACTATTGATTATGAATAAACGTAGTTTTTCTTTTCAATCACACGTGTCCAAATACATATTGGTAGATAGTGTATATGTGTGTGTGTGTTTGTTTTCCCTAAGCGTTTTTAGAAGGGCGGTCTGCCCTGTCTTTCCTTTGATGTGCCTACTTTGCCGTTTTTATAAAAAACTAGCTGTACCCTGCGTGCGTTGCAACGCTTTCAATTTGAATTTGAATTTTGTATTTAAGTATGTAAATGACATTTGCGATTATGATTTGAAATGCAAATTTTATTTAATGGTGAAAAAAAGCAGTTAATTCTCTAGGATATCATTAGTGCATTTTCAAACAGACATGTATGGTGATGCACACGGAGCATGAAACATATTTTGGACAATGATCTGAAATAAGACTGGATCTATGGTGACATCAAGAATTTCTGCTGATATCTGNATTTTTCATAGTGCGCAAAAAATTATGGCGTATTTGACATTAGAATTAATATAACATTTAAATCTGAACTCACGAACAAAAACCACTTAAGTTACTAAACTGTGACATCATCAAAATGCTTTTTCCAAAGTTTCTTTTCTCCCTACTCACAACAGAGCCCTCTAGTAACATTAAAAGGAAACATTTTGTCCACAATTTTTACGATTATATTAATAAATCAAAAAATTCCAAATTGGATATTTTTCATTTGTATTATTTCAACACTAATTATTAATAAGTTTGTGCGAAATTTTGTCAATGCTTATAAAGCCGTGTTTCTACAAGCCTATCTGTGTGTATAACTTTAAATAAATATATATTTTCATGAAGACGAAACGTGATTAACCTACTTCCCGTTACTTAATATGCTTGTGCCTGAAAGTGCTTTTGCTAGTGCTTGAAAGCTTTTGGCCCTAAGTCCTGTAACCGTGTAGCTTACTGTGCTGATTACCATTATGAAATAATGATTTTTACAGAAACCTTCCTCGTGCTTTGAACTATCTGTATGCCAAGTTTCATAGCTTTCTGTCGGATGGTTTAGGAGTCTATAGAGGACAGACAAACAGACAGACACACATTCACTTTTATATATATAGATAAGCCGCCATCTGTTAAAAACACTGCCTTTTTATTCTTATTCTATCTTAAAAAATTAATTCACTGTTTAATTAAATAATAACTACTCACTAGTGAAATTATTTGTGTTTATAGTTTTAATTCTGATTATACTATTACAAAAACGTATTTATTTAGTTAAGATTAATCTCAACTGGTTAAATTTTTAAAAGTTTCTCTTATTTTTTTAAAGGTGGGTGATATTAATGGATTTTTTAAATAAGTACCTTTAAAAAAATTTATATATATATATACAATATATAATTGTATAAATATATAATTGTATAAATATATATTAATTGTTTAAACAATTCATATTCTACACATTATAATGTATATATACATTAAAAGAACCATAAAATATGTTTAAGAAAAATTCCATGCTAACAAATTAAATTAAACTTTGAATAAATAAAATCTGTTTTACAGTGTCATGAGTCTTTTCTTTGACACAACATTCGACATTAGCTTCAAAGAGATTAGCCTAACTAATTGTCGATAACTTCATTGAATTCTTTCTCCAAGAGTGCTCATAATTTTATTTTCCTTTATTTCATCAAAAACCTAAGGTATACAAAAGTAAGATTTAAAAAAATTTCAAAGAATAAAGCTATTAAACTTAAAGAAATAAAGTAAACTGTAAAATATATTTTGAAGCAAATATTTCTCCATTATATCGAAAATTTTCACAAACATTCATTAAATATTCTATAAAATTTTTTTTCTTTCTTTGAAAATCACTGAGGCAGGAAATTAGATACTTTTTAAACTATTTATTACTCACTTGTACGACAGAATTTGAAGAAAAAGTGATATATTTGTATGCAAACCCAAGAAAAATCATTTTAATATTTGAATAAATTTGTTATTCAGGAGCAAAGCATAAAGCTAATATTTAAAAATAACTATTTAAATCTGAGAAGTATATAATAAATTGGCACCTACAGTCACAAGCCACTATAGTTGCCAAAGTAGAATATATGCAATTAAATTATATATGGGCGTATAGGCCTGCATGAAGCCCAGTACCCTACAGGGGAGATAAACTTTAGAACCAGCTGCACAACAATCCAATTTAAATTGTTGAAATTCATCTAAATCTCTGACAGATTGAGAAATAATTTCTGATTGAAATGCTGCAAAAATAGCGCGACCACGCAAACCACGTGGATTTATTCGTTGTTGATTCAAAGTGCGTTAATTATTATCTTTTTGTTATTATTTATTTGAATAGGGATATTTTGATGGTTTTTAACCTTAAGGACCTATTATCTGGACAAACCTATTTTTCGGACTTATCAAAGTCCCGTCGATTCCGGATATGGGACTTACCGTTTGTAGTAGGCATGTTCACTTATGCATTAGTAGTTAGTTTTAAACTATACTTTGATTTTATTACTTTAAAAAAGAAAGTTCCTTTTAACTATTAGTAGTTATTATTTTTAGTTACTTTGTAATATTTTAATGAAATTTATAGGGCTTCCAGTTTTAAACCAATTGGACTGCAAAGGAATTGAAGTGAAACACAGCAATAGCAAAAGTTACGTAATTTTGTTTGCAAACATCTACAGGCGTGCTCGGTAAGTTAAAAAATGGGTAACGAAAACGTATGCCTAAAGCCTAAATGAAATATAATTAGAGATACACTAAATTTATTGTACCCTAATGCCAAAAAAGAAAAAAATGCTATATAAATTTGCCTTAAAATCTATATAATAATTGCAATCTGTTTCATTTTATTTCAAATTGTAAAAAAACAGTTGAACAAACCTTAGTCGTCTTTAAAATATTTAATTGTTATAGATTAACTAATTTCCAGAGAAAGTTTAATTGTACAGATAGATTTGGATATAGAAAAAAGATAGTTTAGTTAAAAGGTATATTTTATAGATATAAAAAATTTTTTTTACAACATTTCTTTTGAGCATAATCAAGGTGAAGAAAATGTTCTTAAAAATCTTTTTACTCTATATGTTTTACCTCTACATTTTGGAATTTTATTGTTATTTCTAATTTTGAAAAAAAAAAAATTGTTTTCCAAGGAAAAGGCTGCTTTTGGGCCTCAGACTGTTTCACCATACTATTATTAGTTTCTTAGTTTTCTTTGTGGCCAAAAATATTGTTACTTTTAATGAGCTGTTTAAATTATTTATGTAACAAGAGTGAAAACTATCTTTGCATAGATCCTTTTTTATTCATATAGTTAGTATGAGCTTTTAAATTTTTCAAATGTTATTTTTGGGCTAGGATGTTAATAATAGATAAAAGGAGTTTTTTTTTCAATTATAAAGCATTAATCATGTTTTTTTTTTGTTGGACATTTTGAATGATATTGTTCATTGTAAAAGCATTTTGTTTGAAAATAAATTTTTTTCATTATAAATTAATGTGAATTTTAAACTAACTCTCCTTATTTTAACTGTACTCCAATGATAAATGTGAATGTGTCAAATAGAGATTGTAAAAAAATAAAAATTTACTCTTTGATGAAAGGCGTTCTTTCAATTTTAAGAATATCAAGATACATTTGATGATACAATGCAATTCTGATATATCCGAATTATAATTTATTAATTAAAATTAATAAATTCTTATTAATCTTCTTCAGGTATTTAAACTGATGTTTTAGTTTATTCATAAATTTTATATTTATTTACATTTTTTTTCTTGTTTTTATTAATTTTATGAGTACAAATTACGATTTGTATTTTTTTTAAGTTAATTTTAAAAAAAAATTTGAAAATTTTTAAGAGCATATTTTCTATGTAATATATATTTATACATCTATGTATTTCCTGGTAGTTTTATTCCAATGCTTCAGACTTGTCTAAGAAGCAGTGTCAGCAGGCACACAATGCTGCCACAATCATGTTATTAATTTTGAATCCATGACTCTTTTAACTGAGATGCTACTTTTTTTTATTAATATATAAGTAATAATGAGGCAATTATTACTGATTATCTCATTTTGTTCGATATTAATTGTATGTTTTAAAGTTAATAACAAAAAAATTATTATTTTTTCCAGATTTTTTACAGAATGGCATCTGAAATAGATGAGCTGGTGGAACTATTAGAAAATACATCTATAAACATTGATGTAAAATATAAAGGCTGGGAATGCATTTTAGGTATCTTTTTGCATTGTTTGTGTATTAGTTTAAAGTTATTTATATTGTTCATTTAACATATCGAGGCTTATTTTAATATAGGAAGAATGTGTAACTTTTTAATGCAATTTTTACCTGTGGTTTTGCAAGATTTAATTTGACATTTACGTAACTATATGAGGCCTGAAAATGATTTTGCAAGTGAAATTTCTGGTAGGACATAAATTTATACACTTAATGCAGGGGTCGCATTCCCCCTAAAATTCATAAAATTTCTAAAAGTATGTGCAAACCCTAAAATTCCTAAAAATCTGATAAAATTTTGTTGGTGTTCCTAAAAAATTAGAGTTATAGGCTAAATATAAATAAAAAAGCAATAATCTAAAATATAAGAATGTAACTACGTTAATTAAAACTGTTTTAATTTTGCCACATGGGAATTCTGATCCTAAGAGAGGTTTTTCGATAAATAAAGCAATGCTTAATGTGAGTCACCATGAGTATACTATTATGTCTCTTAGATTAATTGAAGATACCANTTTTCTTAAAAATTAGTTTTAATAAAAGCTGTTTCATTCATTTATTTTTATCTCATGAAACTACAAAACTTTGCAACTACACTTTTTTTTCCTACTTCATATGACCTTGCAACTATTTATGATATGTGTGGATGAATTGTAATAATCTTCTGTTATGCAATAAACTACCGTGTGATCTGTTTTTATCCTAGCAAAATCATATATTACCCCTAAAATTTTTTGAAAAAAGTTCCTAAAATTTCCCTAAAATTTTAAAAAACTTTGCTGCTACCCCTGTTAATGCTTTAAGAATTCAGAACAGTTCAACAAGAAAATATTCAAACAGCGACATCAAAAAAGCACCCTTTTGAAAAACAATTTCCAAGATGTTAGATAAGACATAGAAATGGCACTAAATAAGAAAAAATGAAAGAAAATTAATTATATTTGACTTAACAAGAAATAAAATTATTGAATTTAAGAATTTATTCAAAACATTTTCTTATTCTCTTTTATATCCTTTGTCATGTTTTTGTAATGTAATAAAATCATTCTGTACTCGAAAATTATTATGAGCCTGCAGATACTTTTGGATTGTGTGCACAGATACTGTATATTTTTTTTAATCATGTTATAATTATGAAAGTCATAGGCAAATAATGTGCGTGGGCTAAATAATTGTCAATGTTCTATTTCTTTTTGGATCAGCTTCTATCATAAATTAAATTCTTAAAAATCGAAACAAGGTCTATGAACAAAGTGTACCTTCTTGGTTCTTTTGTGACTGATTTAATTGGCTTCAAACTGCTATCTTTGTGAATAGCTTTAGAATTTTTCCTTCATCATCAATATAAATGCAACTATTTTTGAATTTTCAATATTTATTGTAGACGAAGTTTCAAAATTTTGGCAAAATGCTAGAATTCTATTACAAAATATTCACTTTTTTTGAAACAAAACTTGAAAGAATGTTATAAAAATGGAGACTTTTAAAGAAAAATAAAAACGGACAATCACAGTTGCTTAAAAGATCAGAGAGAATGCTTTTAAATTAGACAGATCTCTTTGATATTGCATGTTGCAATGAATTAAAAAAAAATAAAATACCTAAGCATTGATTAAGTTCTTGATAAAATTGAAAGAAAATCAGTAATAAAAGAAGATTGAAAGAAAAGATTATGTAAGAAAAGTTTGAAAAAAAGTGAAGTAACTGTGACATCAACATCAACTGATTATGATACAGATAGAAGTTGTAGCATATTTGAGACAGACATTTCATGTTCAACATCTCACTCAGTCTGAAAGAGGATGTTTTAATATCTTGACACCACAATTATACTTTAAGACCTGAATAACTGCTCCACTAGCATCTGATGCACCATATTACGACATTCAGCTACTCAAAATATTTTTAGATAATTCAGCTTTTAATGTCAGCATTTCCAAAGCTCCGTTTCAAAAACCATCAAAGTATCTATCATACATGTCTGAAGATTTGATAGCATTCACTGTATTTGACAGTAACGTTCCTGTTTTTACATAACCACCTATGGTGAAGACTAAAAATGAAAAAAGTCAAAATAAACTACCAAAACTTGCTACCATTATGCTTAACCTTTCAGAGAAAAAAGCTTGAAGATTTTGTGATTGAAAGATCAATTGTATTGTTGAAACAAATTCAACTTCCATGTGAATTCCACTTTCATACTGCTTCAATTGTATAGGAAGACAGGGAAGATTTGCATCCAGCTTCCAAAACTGCAATAACTATAGCAGTAATGACAACGCTGAACGGGAATTAATCTTATTCACAAGTTCAGTTAATTATTTACAGAAGATGAGTTACAATTTAAATTCCTAATGCAAGTGGTGAAAAAGCACAAACGAGCCTATCCAGATAGTCACAAACATACAAAGTACCTCCCAGGTTCATCAAATGGAAAAATATAATTTGATTTACAATAAATAATTTACCTACTCTTTATTAAGCTTAAACCATTTATAACTTATGATTTTTTATTATAATAGCATTAAGTTAGATTATATTGAAATTGCTTTGTAATTTATTTGCTTATTACCATTAATCACTTGTATTACATACACTGAAATTCAAACTGCTTGAGCTACCTCTAATTTTAAATATTTTTTACATAAACTTGACAAACCTCATTTTCTCTTTAAAAAATACCATTTTTAGATGGTAAGACCAACAAAAATTTTGAAAATAAAAAATCATGCCATTTTAGGATCTATACATGTATTCAAAGATTCCAACCCAAAGTAAATGATCAAGCATGATGTGTAGGATTTTGAAAATGGGCTTAAAGGTACTTATTTCTGATTTACATTTTTTAAAAGCCCTTAAAGGTGCTTTTTCAACTGGGGGTTTGTAAAAAGTGCTTAATTTTTTTCTTTTTCAAAATGTTTTTCTTTGCTGTGTCGAGTGTTCTCATATGTTACGAAAAAATCATGATTTTCACTATTTTTCTTTCAATATTTATCTGAAAATAGTTTTTTTTTATCATGATTATGAAAAGTCATTGAAAATATTTTTACGTTTTGTTGATTTTATGTTTATAAATGAACTTGTAGTAGAAGAAAGAAAAATTTATTATTACTGTGCATATCCTAATTGTGATTTTTTTTTAAGTGATTAATAATTTTTGGAGTGCTTAAAATTACATAAAAGATGCTTATATTTTGTTGAAAAATTTGGCCTGTTAAAATAATTTTAATTTGTTTAATTTTACGAACACTATAAACTTAACTACTTGATTATTATGTCTGAAGTATTTGTTTAAATTGTTTATACATAGTGACTATCATTGTAAATCAAATTTGTAAAATTAAACGAACAATTGTGGATCCTAAAATTTAGTAACATTTTAAATGTTGTAGAAAAATCTTATGCAAAAACAGAAGTTGGAATGCACGCAAAGTTTTATAATTTAAAAATAAATGTTTATTATTCTATGCACTTTTGTTGTAAACTAATTACAGTTTTTCCTCTACAGGTCTAACAGCCACAGATGAAGGGCAAAATAATCTTACAAATAAAAAGTTTATTACGTTTTTATTATCAACTCTAAACAAGAATGAAAAAAATGACCCAACTACTAATTTAGCTTACAAATGTTTAATCAACCTATCTTCCAGCAAAGAAGGTGCTCTTAAACTGATGTCATATAAAGATGACCTCATTATTGACTTGTTATCTAAAATGACTGATCCGACTCATAGTCATATTGAGCCAATGTGCTACATTGTAAATAATTTATCCAGTCATGTTTCTTTTTTGTCTGATGACGAACCTCACAGTTTTCCTATTGATAAATTGAAAGATGTGTTAAAATACTTTCTCTCAAGTGAAGGGAATATTAGGGAGAAATACAGATTTTTAGCATTAGTTTTTGCCAATGTGACCAATCATGTGGTCGGTCGAAAGTGAGTAAATTGTGTTATTGTCATTGGTTTTTGCAGTTAAGAATTTTATTTTATTTATTTCTTTTTGTTTAAATAAAATAATTCTATCTAATTTTGTTCTAAATAATAGTTACAACTATGAATAGATTGAAATTATTGTAAAAGTCATATTTTCAGTTTATTTTGAATGTTAATGGCCCTAATTTGAACAATGATAATTTAGTTTTTGAAATTCTGTAAAAAATGGTACTTTTGTTATTTTTTCTTGCACCAAAATTATTGTCTAATACTAAATATTTTTTATTACAAAATTCTGTATGTTTAATATATTTTTATTATGTAAAAAATTGAAATATAATACAGTATACACTCGATATCTTAAAGTTGAAGAGACTCTAAAAAAATTCGAGATAACAAGTTCAGAACTAAATATGTTGTAAAAAGTGAAAAAATATATTCTAAAGCATTACTCTAAAAAGAAGAATCATGAAACATAAGAATAACTATTATAAATATGTAGGAGGTGATGATAGTTGGCAAGTCTAAATACAACAATGATAATTTTATTTTTAAATGTCAAACAAGAGCAGCAATGCATTAAATAAAAAATAATTGTTTTACAATGAACTTGCATTCTGATTTTTCCAAAAAAAGTCTTTCTCTGTTTCAAAAAAAAAAAAAAAAAATTCTGCATAGTAAGATTTTGAGAAGAAACCCTTTGATAAAGGAATTCAAATTAAGCATTTGGTAGATATCTAAATGTCAAGGGGGAAAATATTTTTTTTTGATGTAACGAGGTTTTCAAGTTATCGAAGTTCCAGTCTCAAGAGTATACTGTAATTGTTATTTTCTATATTTAATTCTATATTTAAATTTTAAAACTAAAGTAGTATGTTAAGAAATGATGCATTTATTTAACAATTTGTTTTCAAATTTTAACATCTATTAAATAAGTTAGGTAATGTATAAAATATTGGAAAATCTTAAATTTTTCTCCATTCACTAAAAATAAAGTATCACATCACAATATTATCACAGTTTTTGAAAGATTTATATATAATTATTATTTTCCTTATTAATTATTAGAAATTTATAATTAAATATTGAATAATGAAAGTCTACAAATCTCATTAAATTTTTGTTTTTATTTTTATTATCAATTATTAGAGATGCTTATGTACATATTTGATTTAAAATAATGAAAATGTACAAATCTCATTGTATTAGGCACTATTATTTTTCTGCTTATTATTAAAGTATAAATAATGAAAGTGCATTAATCTCTATGGATTTTTATAATTATTTTCATTACCAATTATTAGAGATGTATGTTTATAGATCTCATGTAAAAGCAAAGTCTGTCAATAATGAAAGTCCGTAAATCTCATTGAATTTTTATTATTTTCCTTGCTGATAATTAGAGATGAATACCCGATAATTAACAATGAAATGGCTATAGACTGTATCAACCTGGTAGCAGAACTAGTGCAGCATGGTAGGCATTTACAATGCTCAGTAACAGCAATCTGAGCCGAAAAAACCATAATTGTTTTAAGTTTATCCTATAATTTTCCATTTCTTACCTAATTTATATTTCTTTTTATCTAGCAGATTTTTTTTTTAAAGTTTTTGTTCATTTTCCCACTTAGATCTTTTAGCACCATTTTTTCTCTCACGATAGTGAATTCTGCGTCAGGGAATACTTCTCATAACCTTTTTTCATGTTCCTTCGATGTTGTTTGTTGTATGGATGCCCAATTGAGTGTAAACGGAATCACTGAGTTTAAAATGATTTAATTTATTACAAAAATTATTTTATCCATTTCATTACTTTTGTATTGTATGAAAATTTAAAAACATATGTATTGACAATTTAAGTTGAAACAAAACATTGCTCTAAATATTATGCATTTTATATCTATTTTATATATTCTGTTAGTATCTATTTTGAAACCATCAACCCCCTCTTATAATTTTGAGTGGATGTTTTGGAGAAACTCCTCGATTAGATATCCATGTAAAGAAGAGTTTTATTATGTAATCATAAAAGAGGTCCAAAAAGCCAATTTAATTAAATGAAAAATAGTGCGTGGAGTCCCTNAATTCTAGGTGATAAAAGAACGACTTTTTGTTTTAAAACATTGAACTGAAAAATTGTCCCTATCAACTATAGTGATGCTGAAAAATTAAGCACTTCTAAGAACCTTGTACCAAAACTAAGTACTATTAAGGGCCCTTATTTTCCAAAATAAAAGTTAAGCAGTTTTTAAGGACCGTGGGAACCCTGCATAAGAAGTATAACTTCAGAAAAGTAATACAGTACAGAACCCGTTATCCGGAAATCAGAAAACCGGAAGACCAAAAAACCGGAACGAAATTCGATAAATTTTCCCGCCATTTAAAAAAAATTTTTTTTTTTCCTCATAAGATTTTAGGATTTGTGTTTCTTTTTTGAAAGATGTTCACCTTACCATCATTTTGGAAATAATCATTAGTGTATTACTTCATCGTTTTTTCTNTATGCTAGTGAGAACCAAAACAATATGGAAATGAATGAGGGAAAACTGGATCCTACCACGTGATTTCCCGGCCAATAAAAATGTGGCGTTAAATGTTTAACGCAACCTTGTTGGAAGTCGCATAAGAAGTATAACTTCAGAAAAGTAATATAATAGAATACAATGTATTCTTGAAAAATTTAAATTATATTTTAATCAATATTTTTTTTTTTGTATTCGTATATAGAAATCATTCTATGGTAAAAAATGTGTCGAAATTTGGTATCTAAAAGTATCAGACTTTATTAAATTGTTGTTTAAAATCATTACATTTTTAATAAGAAAAAATTGTTGAGCATTATAAAATTTAAAAAAAAAAAGAAATTTTAATGCAAACAGGTGTATTGGAAAACAATTTACACTACTATTTATTTTTCAGCTTTAGCCTCTGAAATTTTTTTCTTAATGATTTTTAGGAATTTTACAATTTCAGAATTTATTTTTTATTTCTGAAATAAGTGTGATATTTGTTCTGGTAATTTTATGATTATAAGACTCCTAAAATTTGATATTTTTTATCACCATCCTGTATTAAAATTACAAGCAATTTCAGTAGAATCATATTTTATTTTAGACTTTTTATGGAAAATAACAGTTATCTTGCTGATCTGTTTATTGTTCCATCAAATGCTTCTGAATCAGTTATACGTCGCTTGGGAGTGTCACTAACTATTAGAAATTGCTGCTTTGAAACAGGTAAGAAAACTTACTATCCTTTTACTTACTATCCTTTTTTTAAAAAAACAATGATGCTATTGAGTAAAAATATTTCGTAACTAACAATTCATAATTCTCAAATTAATGATTAAAATTTTTTATTTTATCGCATTCATTCTACAGTTTTCCACACACTTTTACAATTTCAAGTTTCAGTTTATGCGTTAAAAAGCAAACTGTTTTCTAAGACAAAAAACCCAAAAAAGGAATTAAAATTGCTAAAAATTAAAAATAAATTAGGTTTTTAAAGGGAAAAAAAATGTATTAACTCATAAACAAAAATTGTTCTTCCAAGACGACAAGTTTCAATTCCTCATATTTCCTGCACATTTTTCTAAACACCTTCATTTTTCATGCTTCTAAATCTCATAGTTTTTGCACAACAAAATAAAATTTAACGTAAATTTCAATAACCAAAACAAGGGTATCTATTGAGATTTTTTAATATTGATTGACTATATACTACTTGAAATAGGCTTTTATGTCACAAGTTTATGTAATTTTATAGAAAAAAATTAATTTCTTTTTTTTTGTACTTATTTATTAAAAGAATTATATATCAAGAATGACCAAAGGGAAAGAAAACAAAAATTTCATTATATGAAATAGTAAGTGCTTTTTAAAAAAAGCATTAAAAGATTTCATTGCTTCTCTCATTTTTGTATTTACTTTCTTCTCTATGTGATTGCTATTCATTCATAATTGTTATTATTATTTTATAGTCTATATTTTTTGAAAAAGCAAAAGTCACTTTCTTAATGAAATGTATAATTGTTATAATTTTACCTAAGCACATTTCGTTAATGTGTTAATTGTAATGAAATGAATATTTACCAGGATTTGAAAAATAATTTACTCTGCCTGAAGAAAAAATTTAAGAAAAACAGAATGTTTGACACCATACGAGTAAATGAATTAGAAATAATTGTACGTTCTTACAATATAAACTTATTGACATAAAAATTAACATGCCTAGAATATAACGTAACTTGTGTAGTATAGGTAATAAACATAATGATTTATAGATGTAAGTACAACTTTGCTGTAAGTAATTAAGAAATCAAAGCAAAATTATTATTTGTTGCTGAAAAAATTACAATTGAATAAAGGTTTTAGTACCCTCTTGGGGCAACTCTTGCCAAATGCTGAAAGTGACACAAACAAGCATTGGGACATACAAGTCTTTCATAATGTCTTCTGGCATCTTGTTCTACAGTTGCTGTAAAAACACTACAAAATAGACTAACAACAGAAGCTGTCCAACTTGCAGTCCCGATTGGCCCGTTGGTGGCAAATCTGGAGATTGAGCAGGCTAGGAAAGGGTGGTAATGTGGGAGAGGCATTCCTGCGACTCCCTTGCATTGTCATGTTCAAAAATGACACCTGGGCGCCTTGTTAACAGTGGTAGTACATGTATCTGAAGGATGTCATGAATGTGGGCTGTCATGACACCATGAATCAATATTAACGTTGACTGTGCGTCGTATATAATGACACCCCATACCATCAGTATAGCTGTAGAAGAGAAGTACTGCTGTATGTAGCAGGCAGAATTGACACCCACTCACCGTTGACGGTGTGTGAAGTCATGTGACTTGATTGGACTGTAACCGAATGGAACCAAATAGTCTTCAGGGTTTAATCCAGTAATGATCGCGGAGGGGTCTCTCTCCCTCCCTGTATGTATATATATGTATATATTAAAATTAACTAGGTTCAAATTATCTGATTCTCACAAAATGGCAATCATGAATTTGAACCTGCAGTTTCATTTTCATTATTCAAACTGTTTTAAAACTAAAATAAAATTAATGTATACAATTGTTTACCTGTAAAATACCTCTGTTTGCTGTAACAGTTAAAACCAAAAATTTTCCCATCAATCAGCAATAGGGGTATATATTTCTCTGTGGGATGATGAGTAATGGTGGTTGAAGCTTTCATCGTGGAAACGTTAAATTTCACTTGAAATAGACATTTTTTTTTAGTAGAATTCAGACGCTAAAAATTATCCATTTTTTTTAAGTGAAGTTAATGATTATTAAATAAAAAATTGTAACTTTAAAAGGGGCTGTGTTCCTTTATTTATAAAATGTGAGGGGAGAGAGTCCCCTCTACCCCCCACTCCCCAGCTCAGCGGTCCCTGTAATCCAGATTTAATTTAAGCAATGATAATCATTATGTACGAGTCTAGGACCTTTTGGTGAATGCCTCAATCCTACCTGTATTTAACCGCAGCACAGCAGCTGCTCTGCAGAGTAATACTGAAAAAGTAGTACATATTACTACAGAGTATTACATTTTTAACTGGTTATAATTTTTAAACTAATTATCAAGCATAGTTTTTGTAGCAATACAAAATGAAATGCAAATTTGTGCACCCAGAACACTAATGGGCTTATAATTTTTTTACATACAGGAGAAATATTTATTGGCGAAATGACATTTATTGAAGGGTAATATTAAATTCAAATACTATAAATTGATACTATTAAAAAATCCCCACTCGTCTTAATTTTTATTGATGAAAGTAGATTGAAAAACCATATTGCATCCATATTTGGAATACTTGGTTTTTCCAATGCTGGTCCACTCCCGATCACTTCAGATAATCGGCAGAGTCTTACTGTTTTCTTTTAGCCGTTGTATACTTTTCATTTTAAACCAAAGTCAATAAGTTTCAGATTTTTCATTCCAAAAAATATTTATGGCAGGAATTTCTTTTCATTATTTTTCCATTTCCTAGATTGTCATAGCAAACTGCTGGAGGAGTTAACCTTATTACCAAATATACTTCTGCCACTTATGGGACCAGAAGAGTATAAAGAAGAGGAAATGGAAAAACTTCCAATTGATTGTCAATACTTAGAAGAAAGCAAGGAAAGAGAAGAACATCCAAAGATTAGAAGGACGTTGGTTCAAGCACTATGTTTGGTAATTTTTAAAGAAAAAATTTTTTTTCCTAATAATTTATATGTTTAGTAATTTGATTAACCACAATTAAGGAGATAGATTTTCAGTATTTATTGATTCAGATGAAATATTCTTAATTTTTTTTTCTTATTTGTAAAGAATTTTTTACTTTAATGAACTGAAACTTCATTATTAAATTTGTGTGAAGACTTGCTAAGATATCATAGTTACATCACTAGAAACATTATCTGGTAAATAAAGTGGTAAAACATATGCAGTCATTTCGAGAATATGTGGCAGTAAAAAAGAAAAATTCAAAGTGAATATATGATGCTAACCAGAAAGTCCTAGCTCACTTCATTTAAAGACAATCACAATTAATTGTCTTAAACTATTAATAAGCTTAACACTCCGTCGGGCGCGTCTCGAAACTTACGGCATCGGGCGCGATGTATCTGTCAGATACATCTCTGTTTTGTGTGTTTTCTGTTAATATGTATTACTTTAAATCTCCTATTTTTACTCTTTTTAGGTCCAGGCTTTTACACCCGGACCTTTTATTAGTTTTTTATGTATATTTTTAATTTTTATTTAATTTTTATATATTTTTTAATATTTTCAATAATAATTTTTATTTATTAATCACAAACGCTATTACAAAAGTTAAATGCTGTAAAAAACATTTAATTAAACATGTTAAACTGTTGAAAAAGTATAAAAAGGACAGTTATGCACAAATAATACATAATATAAAAGTGACAAATCAATTATTATAATTGAATCCGATTCTAAATTTAAGTCAAATTTTTTCTTCCGATCTGTTTTGCCCATTTAAGTATTATTGTCCTTTCCTACATAAAAATCATCATTATTAACATCATCATCGAGTTCTGAGTCATTATAAACACTTTTACTGCCATGACAATCAACTTCACGTGTTTCTAAAATATCTTCTTCGTCAGCATCACTTTCATCAAATTCTTCAGCATTTAATTCCTCATTTCCATCACTAAATAGAATACTATGAACTAGCTCTAGGTCTTTCTGATTTTTCAAATCTAAAAAGCGTTTAGCACTCATCGTAGGAAAAAGATAAATCAAAAACGCTCAGGGAATCTCGATACTTCCATGTAGCTTCACGAGACAAACGTTATCGGGCGCGTGTATCTAACAGATACAAAATTTCAAACAAGCTTAGAAACAGGAAATACTCCTACACCGAACTGGTCACTACTGCATTCCAAAGTAGCAGGGGGCCAGATGGACAGATACTGATAAGGTCAAGGTCGTAAGAAAATGTTTTAGGGGACAAAAGCAGAGATATTGACACGCCTGTATCTGTCAGATCAACGCGCCCGATGGAGTGTTAACAATTAATAAATCTAATTGGTTCAATTTTGCCAGCACTTAAATATTTTACCGTACAACTGTCAGGTTTCATATGCTTGTTCAAAATTTTTATGCACACTGGTGATCAAAATCGTTGTAAATTGCATTGTAAAAGTATAAACTTCAATACCATTTAAAATATTTTAAAAAAAAATTTAAAAAAACACCTGTAACAAGAGAAATTGACATGTATGTAGACTGCTAGAATGATGAAGTTAATGTTTTTTTTTCACGAGAATGATGAGGTTAATGTTTAACAAATTGCATTTGATAGTTAATTTGCATTGTTGGCTGCATAAAATTTGTTTCAGACAGAACTATATTAATAATGAAAAATAATTTTTCCTCTTTTTACTTAAAACTTGTTTTTATTTTTCAGCTATGTTATACAGAGCATGGCTGGAATTATTTGAAAGAAAATGGTGTTTATTATGTCACTCGAGAGCTTCACAACTGGGAAAAGGATGAAAGTGTGATTGAAGCTATTGAGACACTCCTGTTATATCTTCTTGTTGAGAATTACACAGCCCCCGATGCTAAGGGAAAAGAATCAATACTAAACACTGAGCTTGTAAGACCATCCGAAACAGACGTTGTCAAAGATTTACCTGATTTTATCATATAAATTTTTTTTTTTCTATATGCAAGTGTTCATTTTTATTATACTTCAGTGTAGAACCATCTAAAAATTTTGCACCTCCATAAGATTCTAGGTTTCTGCCTTCTAATATTAATATAAACATTACTTTTTTTACCCTTTTTAAAGTTTTATTCCTAATTACAAATAGCTTAACATTTTTTTTTAATATACTATTTCTTAATTTTTGTATGCACAATATTAGTGAACCTTAGGAGTAAAAAATTTTGCATTTATGGGCCTATAATCTTCTAAAATTGTTTAAAAACATCTTTACTTTCTAATTCTGATTTATATGAAGTATTTTTGTATTTTTATAATAAGCCTCTAAAAAGTCTACATTACTTCCCTCTTTTAAAATTCATCTATTTTAGATAAAGCTAGGTGAACGGCCTGAGAGTTTGCGTACAATCAGGATGGGAGTCTCATTGCGATTCTGAGTATTTGTACAAAAGCAGTGCATGTATGAATAATCAAGGTATTTTTTACCGAAATCAAGGATACAACATATTGAGAGTACAAACTAGTTAGGTCTAAAAAATAGATGGCTCTGGCTGTTATGAATGCTTCATAGTGACAGCTGGTTTCGGTGATTTTGGAGAGGTTAGATACAGTGGCGTAGCTAGGTAACCAAGGGCCCTGGGGCAAATTAAAAAATGTAGCCCCACTGCTATGTAAACTGATTAGGTTTTATCAAATAAAAATATGAAATATACAAATACTTTAAAAATGCTAAGCTACTTAAGCTTTTTTTTGTGCACTGCAGGGCAGGTAATGAAAATATTAAACAGTAACAACATAAATTACAATTAATACTTGGTGTAGGTTTGGCTAATAAAACGAAATAGAGAAGATTCAAGGGTTTATTATATAAAGGTCGGGCCTACCAACTGACTAAATAACAATTATATTTACAATTTTTTCCTAGCTTTAGTTTTCGCAAAAGTATCAATGACTTCGTTTAAATCCAGGCTTGATGCGGTTTTGTTTTCAATT